CAGCTGCCCAGCCATGCCTCAGAGACACCGGGAAGCAGATGGGCACCAGAAGTACCGAGGCAGCCCTGGGCACAGGAGATGCTGTTGCCCCTAGCCATGAAAGCGCCACCACATTCAGGTGACCTGCCATGCTGTGTATTTTCTTGCTTTGGGGATCCCCTCTCCTGCTGCCTGCCGAGTGACCATCTCAGCAATCCCTGCTTCACATCATTGCGTGCGTTAGCCAGGGCTGCTGCAGCACAGACTCACAGGCTGGGTGGCTTAAACAATAGCAGTTTATCTTGTCACAGCTCTGGAGGCCAAAGTCCGAGATCAAGCTGCAGGCAGACTTGGTTCCTTCTGAAGCCTCTCTTCTTGGCTTGTAGATGGCTGCTTCTCTCTCTGCCTCCACATGGTTTTGTGTTTCTCTGTTTGTTTTTGTTTGTTTGTTTTTAAAGACAGAGTCTCACTCTGTCTGACACCCGGGCTGGAGTGCAGTGGTGTGATCATGGCTCACTGCAGCCTCAAGCTCCTGGGCTGATTCCTGCCAATTAAGTCAACCCCAAGCTTCCTGTTTCATGGATAAAGGGCATGTTAGTATCCATGGCATAAATGAGGTCTAGAGAACTCCAAGGCTACTGACGGTAGTGGGGATAGAGGCATAGGTGAGAGCAGATAATTTCTGTTCTCTAGGCCCTCCCTGCTTCATGGTGCAAGCTGCTTTGGCACTCATGGCGGCACCTGCCACGGTCACCGGGTCTCAGGGGTGCAAGGACGGAAGAAGGAAAGGGGGCATTCTTTCCTCTCTCCCTCACATACACCAAGGTATCTGCTAGGAAGAGAAGAGAAGGGAGCCAGGGACACCTGCTCCCCTCGTTCCAGATGGGTAGCCATTCATCTGCAGTCTGAAACCCCTTTCAAATGCATCCTGAACCCTTGGGATGCCTTTAAAAGGTGTTCTCTTGTTTTCCTTTCTTCTCCTCTGTTCTCTCTTCACTGATTGATAGGTAATCGTCCTTGTACTATGGGACGCTCCCTCAGATGCATCCTCCAAACTGGAAAGAGTTAATTTCCCAAACTTTAAGCTGGTTGGCTTCGGATCTGGCCCAGGGGAAGGGAACCCAGAAGCCCAACATGCTGGCAAGAGGGTGAAGTTTCTTGCCAGTGGGGCCTTTGGCCTCTCCCTCCCTGTGCAAACTGGTAAAAGGCCTCAGAATTGTTTAGCTGTCCTTACCCCTCCCCTTGTTTCATTTTGTCTTTTGTGGTTTTTGAGACGGAGTTTTGCTCTTATTTGTCCAGGCTGGAGTGCAGTGGCACAATCTCAGCTCACTGCAACCTGTGCCTCCAGGTTCAAGGGAGTCTCCTGCCTCAGTCTCCCGAGTAGCTGGGACTACAGGTACCCGCCACCACATCCAGCTAACTTTTGTATTTTTTAGTACAGACTGGGTTTTGCCATGTTGGTCAGACTGATCTGGAATACCTGACCTCAGGTGATCCCCCCGCCTCGGCCTCCCAAAGTGCTGGGATTATGGGTGTGAGCCACCGTGCCCCGCCTGTTTCGTTTTGCTACATGTTTTCTAATATCCCTGTTTGTCTGTTCTTGCCTTCAGGCCATCAAACTCCAGTCATGCAGCTGGAGCCTCTGATGATGGCCCCTTCTGCTGGGAACCCTTAGGCCTCTGAGGGAGCTCTGGCTGCCATTTCCCCAAAAGAGGACCCCCTGTCAGCAGGAAGCAGTTAAGATCGGTCTTTGTCCTTACCCTTAATCTAACAGCAGTTAGACATACTTCTTTAGAGGGGGCAATGAGATAGCTAGGTGGGAGGGGGCTCCCGCAGAAACTCCAACTGGCCTGCACAGTGAGGTGGAGCCTCGGGAAGATCCGGACGTTTGCAGCAGGGAGGAGCCTGGCCCTCCCCTTCCTGGGCGGAACCTGAGATTCCAGCTGTGGGGTGGAGGGGGGGAAGCACTCTAGCAGGGACTCTGGCCAGCGAGACTTCCTGTTTCCCCCTTTTCTTCCTTTTCACCCAATAAAACCCTGTCTCACTCACCATTTAAATTGTCCACGAGCCTGAATTTTCGCAGCCATGGGACAAAGAATCCCATCTTTAGCAGAACTAATGCAAAGTCCTGCAACATTATCACCCTAAGTTGTTCCTGAGGTGTTTCTTGGGAATGAAGACCCAACTTCTAGGTTCGGTGGCCCAACACGCAGCCTGCACTGATCTGCCCCCCGGGGCCCCCACCTGGGACTTTCACTGCACCAGGTTTGGGCTCCACTCGTCCTCTGAGGAAGGCATCAGCCGCCCCGTCCTCAAACCCCGGCACTGCCTTCCCACCTCCTCGAGCCCTTCGTCCCTGAACAGCCTCATGCGCCCCTTCCTGTGACTGGTCACTGGCAAGCACAAGCCTCTCCCAGGGCCTAGGGTCTGGGGCGTAGGGAGTTGTGCGGAGCAGATGCCTTCATGCTAGTTGCAGCCCCTTCCTTCTGGGTTTGAGGAGAACTGCCTCAGTAGGGGACGCTTATTCACCCTGCAGCAGAGAGGCAATGGCTAGCTGGCTCAACTCACATCACCCTTCTTGAGGTTAAGAGACTTGGTGCTGGAAGAAGAGAGGGGATGTTAGTACATTCGAGGGGTTTCTTCCCTTCACCTGCAAGGGGAGCTAACTTTATCTCCCATTGTGCCTTCTGATGAGCCCCTCTGAAGCTGAATGACTGCAGAAGAATCCTCCAGCCAGGAGCCTTCGGCTTAATCTGAGCACATTGAGTATTTGGACAATGCAGATGATCACAAAATGCTCCCTAGAGCACCTGGGGGACCCTGAGTGACTTCTTTGTACTGCCTTGGGCTTTAGGTACTGGACTTGGCAGTGACTGAAGTCAACCTTAGGCACAGATGCCATTTCTGGGGCTTTGGAGGGGCCGTTGCAGTAGAGCTTGAAGTCTCACCAAAGGTTGTGCCTTGAAGCTGATTCACTCATTTAGACAACAGCAGCATTGAGGTCATCGAGACTGCAGCCTCTCCCCAGGTAAGTGGACCCCTAGGGTGCTGGGCTGGACTGAAGAAATGGCAGGAGGCGGGGCCTTTTCCTTGGGTGTGAGTGACAGGAATGATGCCTGGACACTCATCAGAGGACTTGCCCCCCACCCACCACGGCACCCAGCACTGGATGCGACACTGCAGATGCGGTTTCATTCCAGATCCCAGCCTGCGGCTGCTCAGGCATCTGAAACCAGACGGCCTGTGTTGTCGGCCCCAGCATGCTGTGATGAATACTGAGCTGCCTGTTGAGCATCTCCCCAGGGATGAAGGAAAGCATGGAGCTTTCTTAATGCCCAGCACAACTCTTTCATTGAACGCTATTAGATTTCATCCTGTTAGATTGTCAGGGGCTTTTGGGATTCTGATTTATTCATCTAATACACTTATTTCTCCTTATCCACAAATTTGGTAAGTTCTCTAGGTCTTCATCCCATTATGAGTGAAGGTGTTGGCTGCATTGCAGATGCAATTCTCTCCAAGGTGCACCCCGTCCTTAGTTATAGCTGAACAGGTATAAACATTCTCCTAACCACTCTTACCCAGACTCTCATTTATTCAGAAGTCTTTGTCAAATATGTATGTTGCCCGCATTTCCCTCATCAGCTAGTCTAACAATTAAGAGAAGGAAATGAGCTGCATCTGTACACTTATTCTTGGTAAACCCAATCTGGGGCCTGATGCTTGATTTAGCAAGCGAATTCCTGGTTGCAAAGGAACCAGATTATCAAAGATGAGGCTGTGCCTTTCAGAAGAAGCGGAATTCTGAAAAAGGGTCTGAAAGAGGGCAAGACCTGCCTTGGAGGAGGGCAGCCTTACAACAGAGAGCAAACCAATAGCAAAGGCTGCAGAACTGGGCAGGAAGGCGTGTTGTCCCAGTCAGAGATCTGTCCGATTAGGAACATGGGAGGACACAGGGATTTGAGAAACTACCAGAAAGGTCACATGAATGTTTATTACAACGTAGAAAAGAGGGAAAGGAAGAAAAAGGTTTCCAAAGCCATATTTCCAAGGATTAAAAAAAACACAAACTTGGAATGCCAAAGAGATGCCATGCTTTTTATATTTATAATAGGAAGGTGTGTGTATGTATAAATATGTACATGGAGATATGTACACGGGTTTTTGATTGTCATATATGGTATTTTTCATTTCATGTACAGTAATGCTGCTTGAACGAAGGGTTTTAAAGCCGGCAGAAGGCTGGAGAAACTGGAACTCTGCTCGGCCACTAGAGGGCGCAGTGGAGACCCCTGAGCAGCTCCCAGGGAAGGTCTTCGGGGCTGGGTCCCGGCTGTCGGGGGAAAGCTAAGCTGTGGACCGGCCTGGGCCTAGGCTGTAGGATTCTGGCCAGGGCAAGTCTGGAAGCGTCCCTAGGTCCCTGACATTAGATATTTTGTCCCTAGGTCCCCGACATTAGACATTTTCTTCCAAGAAGGGTTCCAGTCATTGGAGTAGCCTGGAAATACCCTCTCGGCTGGACTGTGGTGGGGTGGGCTCCCAGCAGGTCTGGGTAGAAGTGAGACAAGAAATACCCAGGAGCTTCTCTAAGAGCAATGAGGCCGGGCGTGGTGGCTCTCGCCTGTAATCCCAGCACTTTGGAAGGCTGAGGGGGTGGATCACCTGAGGTCGGGAGTTTGAGACCAGCCTGACCAATATGGCGAAACCCTGTCTCTACTGAAAACACAAAATTAGCTGGGCGTGGTGGTGCATGCCTGCAATCCCAGCTACTCGAGAGGCTGAGGCAAGAGAATCGCTTGAACCCGGGAGGTGGAGATTGCAGTGAGCTGAGATTGCACCATTGCACTCCAGCCTGGGTGACAGAGTGAAACGCCATCTCAAAAAAAAAAAGAACAGTGGAAACGCACAGCAATTAATTTAACAGAAAGAAGAGAGACCCAAACAAGCCAGTCATGGAGTCAAAACACTGCAAATCACAACACAATACTCGTTCGTATGTAAATTCAGTTGATACAGAACCAGTTGCTTTGTTTTTATATATGTATATATGTTGTTTTTTATAAAACTGGCACCACACCCAACAGCAGGGAACTTAGCCAATGAAAAGGGCTGGGCACAGGTTCTCATGGGTGCTCAGGCCTTCCAGGGTGACAGTGCCCACGAGGAGCCTGCTACAGCCATCATCACCTTGTCCCCTGCTTGAAACATCCAATCAAGTGCTAACCCAGAAAATGGTGAATGAGGACCTCCCTCCCTATTCTTTCCTCCCTGGTTCCGGTGCTGGGGTAGATGGGTGGGCACACTGCCCCCTCTCCTCTGGGCAGGCCCACCTTCACCTTCCCACAGGACGCCAAGCTGGGGCCGTGGAGAATGGGCACAGCCGGGTTTGGTGCTGAGCCCACGCACCCTAGGAGTACATGGAAGAGATCCACAGGGCAGGGGCCCTGGAGACAGAGGAAACAGGTGCATGTGGGTGGGGCAAGGGTGGGCTGTGGTGAGGGCAAAAGGTACTCGCAGCCAGCCAGTGCCCATCCCGGAAGAGGGGGTGTGGGCTCCTTTGGAGAAAAGTCCCAACCCTGAGGCTCCAGGCAGACCGGGGCCTGCTTTCCCAGCAGCCGAAGGGGCTGTGGGCTGTGAGTGTGTCTCTGTCCACGTGGGGGGGGGACTGTGGCATCCACACCTGCCTGGATGGTTGGCATTTTGGCAAATTCAGGCAGGGAGGGAGAGGGGTTAGGGGCCAAAGTTCCCCAGCTAAATGCAAATCCAGATGGCTTGCACTGGAAACCCAGGACACACAAGGGTGGGCTACAGATACCTTTCTGCCCCCGGCAGCAGCATCAGGAAGGGAGAGGGGAATTGGGGCCGGTGTTTCTGTTCTGCTAGAAAGAATCTTGGCTCCAGGATTGCCAGCAGCAAGGAGGTGAGGCCTGGGCAGGAGAAGGCAGCCCTTGCCCAGATGGTGCTGGCCCTGCAAGCCCTGGGCAGATGTGGGGAAGCGATGGCTGCCTAAGCCCGCCTTTGCTCCCAACCTAGAGATACTTAAACTGAAGTGGCAGCAGTCGGAGAGATGCCGGTGGTCATCACAGCACTTGGGCCAGAACTCACTCCGAGGCCATAGGGGGACATTTGGGGTCCCTCTGGTTGGGATTCTTCCTCTCTCTGCCTGGCCTGTAATTTAGGGTGGGTGCATGACTGAGCCTGACCACTTCCATGCCTCTGTGATCCTGTGAATATCCAGCTCTAAGAATCTTGCGGGAAGAAAACTGATGAAAAACACAGGCCCCTGAGCCTCGCACCCTCCTGCTCAGGCTGAGCTTTTTTGTGATTATTTTAAAGTTCCAAGGTGGTCAGAAGGACCAGTCACCTCCCCTGACCAGGCTAGCACCTCATCCCCAAACCCAGTGCCCCGAGCTCTATGGAGGGAGAGAGGCCAGCCCCATCCTTGAATAGTGCACCCCACGCCTGCCTCTGCTCACCCTGCAGCTTCACCTGTGGAGGCTGGGACGGCAGGAGTGTGGAGGTGAGAGCATCCGTTTCTAAGCACAGGACCGCTGGGCCCACTTTAGCTCTCCCTGAGTGCTGACTGCGTGAATGAATGCAAAATAGGGAGCTGTCCCCTGGCGAGGACTGCCCGAGGCCACTACCTAGCTGCTCAGTGAGCCCTCCAGAGAGGAAGCGCTGTCTTCTCAGCCCACCTCCAGTCCCTCTGATAAAAGTCCTCCAACAAATCCAGAAAGAGGGAGGAATAATAGCAGTTCTCTGCCTTCAGCCACTAACTGGAGAACTTCCATTTAAATGACACACCCCCAAGCATTTATGCAATGCTCCTGCTTCCTTTGCCTACATCACTTTCACCATAGGAAACAGCCAATGTCATTAAAGCCTAAAGTGGGCCCGGGAGCCTGGATGGGACCCTGAGGGGCCCAGCGCTCCACCCTCTGAGAGTGGCTGGGCCCTGGCAAAACCGAAAACAATTCTCAGAATCGCAGGCGTCTGGGCAGGGAAGGGGTTAGCTAAAGAACATGCTTCAGGGTTTTTGCCTTTGGGGTGTTTTGTGTTTTAACGAGCCACCTGGTGCCGAAGGACCAGGGGCCTCTCAGCTTCCCTTCCCGGTCGAGAGCCTTGGGCCTTCGGAAGGCCTTTGCCCCGGTCCTGGGGTTTCAGCCCCGGTTTGCACTGCCTTCCACTTGGTGTTGGGGTCTGTGCCTGACTTTTCTTTTTGAGAGTCGGGACCCTTTGCCCTCCAGGAGAAAAGCTGATCATGTGGCTTTTGTTCTTTCTGCAGTTCCTCCTTACTGCTGTCAGCATGGCTGGAGCCCCCTGCGCTGGAAGAGCAGGTGACTTGGTCCTGCGCATCAGGATGAGGAAGCACCAATCCCAGCTCTCTCTCTCCTCATCCCAGCTCTCCTCATCCCAGCTCTCTCTCTCCTCATCCCAGCTCTCCTCATCCCAGCTCTCTCTCTGCCACCATCCCCTGACACCCTCAGGAAGGGGTACTCTTTTGGGCCTGCCTAAAGGAGGGAGCATGGCAGGTGGGAACCCAGAGCCTTGCAGGGCAGGGTGGAGGCGCCCATGTCCTTCCCAGGAGGCTTTGCCAGACACCCCCTGAGTGATGACAGGTCTCAGGAGGGGGCTGCCCCCACACATGGGAGGGAGAAGCTTATTTTCCGGGCTTGGGCTGGGGGTGACTGCTGAGGGGTTGGAGAAGAGATGGCAATCGATGTCACATGTTTAGTGACACAATCCAGATGCAGGTGGGATTGTGTCACTAAACATGTGACATAATCACCCTCTTACTCCTGAGGGGTGAGGACCCCTCCCCAGGGCGTGCCCCTGGATGCCTGAATTCCCCTTCTTCTGGAGGTGCTGTAATGAGTGTGTCGATGGCACAGGCTGTGGGGGTGACCCAACCTGGCCACGTGCCTGTCCTGCCACTTAAGAGCAGAGTGTTTACGGGCACATGGCTTACTCTCTCTCTGAGCTGCAGGTCTGACATCTGAAACTCACAAAGGTATCTCCCCTCCCAGGAGCTAAAAAGCCCTGGGGCTGGATGTGTGGGACTGGGGCAGCTGAGGATGGGGACCATGCTGCCCGCCTCCTCCTTACCTTGGGAAGGCCAGTGGTGTGGCAGATTGGGGAGTGCCCCAGCAGCAGAGCTTCTGCCCTGCAGCCCTGATACTAGGCTAGGCAGGCAGGTGGGGGGCCACAGCCAGGAGCCATCAGACTCCTGCTGCTCCCATGGGGCCCTAGCCCTCCCCGCCTGAGGTCCTCACTTCTTAAACTGACTCGGAGCTCAACATCCAAATCGACAGTCTCCGCCGTCCGCGGGACATGCCCAGGCCACCCACGGCTCACTCTGGCCCAAGGGAATGGCCACCCTGATCCCAGTGTCACAGTTGGGTCCTGGGAGCATCTCATTGCCTCTGATGTTCTCTGCACACCTGGGATTCCTGCCCAAAATACACACAGCCAGGGCGCATCCTACTGAATTCCAATGGTGAACCTGCCCTGCAACCTCTGAGCCAACAGCCTTGTCTGCACTACCGAGGCAAAGCCCAGCTTCGTCACCAAAGGGTTGGGCGTCAGCCAAGCACTTGCCAGCACGAGAACCCCAATTTTCAGCCGGCTGCTGTTTGAGACGTTAACTCTGGCCCTGGTCTGAGGAGCCAGCTGGAACTACTTGGAGTAAATCAGCCACCGTCCCTTATCTACTGAAGATGATCGTGCTGAGACCGCGGTCTAATTTAGAGGGGCGGGGGGATATTTTGAACTTGTGCCACCCACGTGGCAACCCTCACAGCCTCATTCAGGAGACAGGCAGGGGCCTCTTGGCTTCTCCCACACCTCAGTTACCCGGAAAAGGGCCTCCTCCTGAGGCTGATGTGTTCCCAGGTTTAGAGACGCAGCCCTCAGGGGAGAGGAGGATCTGGGGGTGCAGTGGCCCTCCATGCACACAAACACACAAACCCCTCTATTAAGCCATCCCACATAGGACTCAGGGTGACACCTGCCACTCAAGAAAGTCCCACCTGCATCTGGATTGTGTCACTAAACATGCAATATAAATTGCTATCTCTGCTCCACCCCCTCAGCAGCCACCCCCAGCCCAAGCCGGGAAACTAAGCTTCTCCCTCCTATGTGTGGGGGCGGCCCCCCCAGGACCTGTCATCACTCAGGGGGAGTCGGGCAAACTGTGGGGGCTATGTGGGGTGAAGGGCTGTGGGCTGGCAGGCATGGGAGGGGGCGGCTTCCTGCAGCTGAAGCTATTTTATCTGAGTAGAGGGGCGGCTCCGCTCTCATGCAGCTTCCTCGAGAGCAGCGAGCAGCCAGCCTGGAGGATGCCCGCTTCACACAGCAGAAGGTTCTAGCTTTTTAGAGAAAACCAAATCTGATCCCATACGTTGAAGACACAGACTTTCAGACAGGAAAGAAGAAGGCAAAAGGCCTGGATTGGGGTTGGTAAGAAGAAAGGACAGGATGCGACAGACACTGTCAGGTGTTCCAACATGGCAGCCCAGCCCCAGGCAGCGATGGAAGAGGGAGAGTAGCTAAGGGATCCATGCTAAGGGGTGGGCCGCAGGGCAGGACAGGCCGGGAGTCAAGTCGGGGCGGGGTGGGTGAGTAGCTGCAGGGGCTTCTGTTTCTCTAGGGATGTTGGGAGCTGTCCAGTCTGCAGGGTGCTCCAGCCCTGCTGCTTAGGCAGGACTGTGATTAGAAAGCCAGTGGATGGGGTAGGTGGGCTGGGACCCCCAGCACGGTGGCCACTACTTCCCAAGCACTTTCATTCAGCAAAATCCCTTCTCCTGCCTTCATGGAGTTCTGACGGAGTCTCTGATAGACAAACAAGCCCTTCAAAGACGGTCATGCCCAATGGCCCTACGTCAAGTGGAGTCAGAAGCTAGACTTCGGGCCAGCTCCACTTGTTAGTGTTTCCTGTGTTAGAATGAAAATGGAATGAAACAGATGTGTAAATGTCCATCCTCTTAGTATAATTTTGGGTTCTCCTTTCTCTTAACTTCAGATTGATACTTGATCCATAGTAGCCTGGACAACTTCTGCTCGACTCTCCCCACCCCCAGGCCCCCATTAGGCATCTAGCCTTATTTCAATCACTTCCAGAGGTGCTTCTTAAAGAGGCCCGGGGTCCCTCGGCACCTGAAGGAGTCCCTGTGTAATATCGACAATGTCACCCTCTAACGCATCCGTCCACAAGTAGGATTTTCAGATCCAGGTCTACAACCCCATACCATTATTTTTGCAATTCTGAAACCCCAAAAGCTCTCAAATGGTAAGTTTTCCCTAAGTTACTTAGCGGTAAAATTAGACTGAAGTGAGCTGAGGCTATTTACAGTTTGTATGGATCCCAATTGATGGGACTAGTCACGTTTCTCTGCAGAAATGGTCACGTGCCTGATAGCAGGCGGGATGACCCACACTCTGCTGGAAGGTTAGAAAGTGTTTCAATAAACGGATCACATTGCCTTTCTCAAATCTGAAATTTCTCAACTCGGAGACACATCTGGCCCCAATGACTTCAGAAAAAGGAGTGTGGGCCAGAAATGCGGTTAAGTATAGGGTAAAAGCCTGCTAGTTTGCCCATTCCCACTTCAGTCTAATAATTTTGTGTATAAACGTCTGGTAATTCTGGCAGTTTCACCGCAGGGAAGGATCCACTCCTCTCCTTCCCAAGAAAACACAGGTCACAACACACCTAGCCCTTCGATTTCAGTGGCAAGGAGGCGAGGGGTGCAGTCAGGGAGGCCGCCCAGGAGACACCTGTGAGACTGGTCTTCTCCCCGAGGCCTCAGGCCAGCTGTGGGCATAGTGGGCATGCCCACACTAGGGTGGAGCCTGGCCATCCTCACCCCCACCCTGGTGCTGCCCTCAGGAGACCACACAGTAAATACTTGAGGTGCTAGATTTTGAGGTGGGTGGGGTCCCAGAGGACGGGTCTACCACAGTCCTGAACCCTTTGTGAGACAGGGCCCGGTGTGGCCCGGCCCAGCAGCTGTGGCATGCCCTTGCAGTGGACAGTGGGCACGGCAAGGCGGGTTGGAGCCTGCTGGAGCATCCAGCTTCCCTGTGGGCGTTCTCATCTCCACCCCACTCTCTGGTGCTCTGGTGCCTGCGCCCACAGTGCTTTCTGGAGCAGGAGGGACTGGCAGCCCTCACAACCTGCTGAGAAAAGCAGATGCGTTTTCAAGATAAATAATATTTTTAAAAATACCCCCTTTCCACCCCCAGTCCAGAAAATGGCAGAAGAGAACACGTAATGGTCCGTGTGCCCAAAGCTGCTTGATGCAGCCCTCACTGGGCCCCCTGGATCTCCCCAGCAGTTCCCGCGGGCTCACAGCTGCTGTGGGATGCCCTGCTCCTTGTAGCCTGTGGAGAAGAAGCAAAGAAGAGATGGTTAGACACCTGCTTTTTTCAGGATTTCTCCAGGAGGTGCCACTAACGCAGAATACGTGCAGGAGACCTTGTTTATACTAAAGTGTAAATGACTGCTACCATCAGAGCACAACTTTTCCCAAGGGCTTTGGCTTTTTAATGGGAAACAAAAGAATGAATCAGGAAGTGTGGAGTGCCGGGTTTACTGGGAATGTATGACAGGTGGACATTTGGGGTGGGGGCTAAAAGGCTATCGATGTGCTCCTGAACCCACACCTGGAAGCCACTCACAGGATGGCTTGGTGTCATTTCCTAGTGCAGAGCCTTGGGAGCAGGTGCCAGGCAGGCTTCCCCGAGGGTTGGGCATCTGGTATGGGTGGATAGAGAGGAGGAATAAAGGAGGAAGATGGCATACAGAGGGGAGCAGCCATCCCTGCGTGTGTCCAGCCTGCTGGATGGTTATGGCAGGAAAAGGCGCCTGAAGCCTGAACCTTTAAAATGTTGATCATCATGAGTCCTTTGGGAAAAAGTAAGGAATTGTCACTGCTTTATTTGGGTGTGAAAGGGTACTGTGTTGTTTTTTTTTTTTTAAGAAGATACCCTTTGGGTGGCTGAGGCCTGTGGATCACCATGTCAGCAGAGTGAGACCATCCTGGCTAACACAGTGAAACCCTGTCTCTACTAAAAATACAAAAAAAAATTAGTGCCTGTAGTCCCAGCTACTTGGGAGGCTGAGGCAGGAGAATCAATTGAACTCAGGAGGTGGAGGCTGCAGTGAGCCAAGATCACACCACTGCACTTCAGCATGGACGATAAAGTGAGACTCCATCTCAAAAAAAAAAAAAAAAAAGTTACCTACTGAAATATTCCCAGCTCTATTACATGAGCACTTATTCTATTAGCCAGTGAACTTAGTCTGAAGAGGAGCTTCAGTGGATTGAGCTGCTTTTTCTCTTCATTCAGCAGAGTATTTCTCAATTTTGGGTGCTGGTAAACCCATGCTGGGGGTCGGGGATCGGTAGGGAATAGCAGAGAAAGGAGGCTGGCCGTGAATGGGCAGCCGTTGGAGCTGGTATGGGCATTTAGGGCCTCATTCTACTAGGGCCTCTACTTTTGTCTGTGTTTAAGCATTTTCCAAACAAAAAGCTAAAACTAAACATAAAAGCCCATTGACCAATGGGGAGACTGGGTGGGGTGTTTGTGTGCAGGAGTGGGGGTCTCAGGGGAAGGGAGGGCCCCAAGCCGAAGCACGAGGCCCGCGCGTCCATCCACAGACTCACCTTGGGAAACTGCAGCAGCGCAGAGTGGGAGGCAGCAGGAGGAAGAGGAGAGAGAATAGAAAACACAGGCTGAAAACAGAGCCACAGAGAGCGCTTGGAACATGAAGCAAAGCGGATCGATGGTGAGGCCTGGGGGATGGGAGAGGGGCCATGCCAGCGGCTTCTCAGATGCCAGTCCCCAGGCAGGGGGTGCTCAGTGCTCATGGTGACAGCCACTGTGGCCAGCGGTCTGCCCACCCAGTATGTGGGCGTGGCTAGGGACACAGCGAGGGGGTCTCACTCTGCCAGGGAGTTCTGTCCACTGCCTCCCCAGCCCTCTAGATCCTGGCCATGCCCACACTGCTGCCCATCATTCTTTATTCTTGTCTTCTTTTGAGGCAGAATCTCACTCTGTTGCCCGGGTTGGAGTACAGTGGTGTGATCATGTCTCGCTGCAGCCTCAAACTCCCGGCCTCAAGTGATCCTCCTGCCTCAGCCTCCCAACATGCTGAGATACAAGCATGAGCCACAGCACCCAGATCCCCCTCTTTTTTTCGTTCTCACCTCAGGCCTTCCTCAAGATAAATTCCAAATGAACCTGAGGAGCGACAGCTCCTGGACAGCTAGAGCTTTGACTGCAGCAATCTAAAGACGCTGATGTGCCCCATCCCAGCCCCAGCCTGGCTCTATCTGAGCTCTGTGCTCAGCTGTTTCTATGGAGAGGAGACACATATATAAAAATTATTTGGGGAAGACCCAAGCCAGAGGGAGGCAAACAGGTTTTATCTTGCAGACCTCTTGGATCAATCAGTAGCGACTGCCTGAAGCCGTGTGCTGAGAACATGTGAGACTGTTCAGCAGAAAGTATCATGGTTGATTAGCAATGTCTGCCATGGGGATGGTGGCAGAAAGAGCCCACCACAGAGCTACCAAGTATTTACTGACCCATGACCAAGACAGGCTGTTGTTGGTTGTTATTTGTCGTTATTCATAGAAATCAGGCAACATGCTTGCAATCTCCTGATGGTAACTCCCACTTTCATCCAGATTTCTCTGACTCCCCTCTTAGGAGTTTTCCATGATGGTGTGTTTGCTGATGACACCACAGGCAATGTCATGTGAAAAACTAAAGTGTATTGTTACAACGGGAAAGTTTCCTCCGTTTTTACGGCGAAAGGCTGGAGTGACACCAGAAAGAACAGTCCCTTATCCAGCTGTCTTCTAAAGGAGTCACTCTGGGACACACACGTTCCGTGGTTGCTGGGAGTAACCTCACTGCAGCACCATCTCATGAGTGGCAACTATTCATCCTTTGGGGGTGGGTTTAGCGGTGGGAAAAAAATGCAAAGGCATCCATTGCTGAGACGGGCGAATGAGCCTGGCAGTCAGGCCGTGGTAAGAGTGACGTGTGGCTGGTTTTTGTATGCAGCCCTCAGGTCCATCGCCCTATATGGTTTGGTTGTATCCCACCCAAACCTCATCTTGAAATGAAACTCCACAATTCCCCTGTATCATGGGAGGAACCTGGTGGGAGATAATTGAATTATGGGAATGGATCTTTCCTGCACCGTTCTCATGATAGTGGATGAGTCTCATGAGATCTGATGGTTTTAAAAATGGGAGTTTCCCTGCACAAACTCTCTCTCTTTGCCTGCTGCCACGTACAGAAGCCGTGACTTGCTCCTCCTTGCCTTCCACCATGATGGTGAGGCCTCCCCAGCCAGGTGGAACTGTAAGAGCATTAAACCTCTTTTTTCCCCAAGTCTTGGGTATGTCTTTATTAGCAGTGTGAAAACACACCCCCTAAAAGCATCCTCAAAAGTTTGATGCAAAGATAGAATCCCTGGAAACAGCGTGCAGACCTCCAAGGGGCTGGGGCTGACGCTGATGCCCAGTGAAGGCTGCGTGGTGAAGGTGGGGGCTGCAGCTTCTTGCACTGGCTTATCCTGCAGCCAAGTTACCACCCCACACCAACCGCAGCAGAGGAGTTTCTGGCCAAGTCAACGGCCTGGGGCAACGGAAAGTGAGGAAGTGACTGGATCCCATCTGCACTTCCGGAGCCTCAATGCTGCACCTAGGGCATGATGAAGGGAGCTCTTTAAGTCATCTCTAAGGTTCCTACCTCTTGGCTCCTAGGTATTAAGGAGATCAAAGACAAGTGTACCAGAAAGCTCTAGAGATCCGATGAGGCATCAACACACATTACCGAGACCTACCCTGTGACACAGTCATGTCCCGCTTTAATGCAGAGGCTCCTTACTCAGGTCCCCAGTGCCTGGCCAAATGCTTGGTTTGAGAGAAGATGAGCCAGTAAGTGGGGCTCATCTGGCACAAACTGGGCAGTCTTCAACCTTCCCAGGGCAGAAGGACCTCCCAGGTTCCAGCTGGGAGCAGGGTCAGGAGCGTGCATCCCACAGGCCCTGGGGAAGCAGCAAATCTCCTCTGTGGGATTGTCGGACTACTTTTTAGGAGTCACCCAAGAGCTGGCAGCACCTCTATCCTTCACGCCCTTCACCTCTCCACACAAATGAAAGTGGCCTCAGGGGGCGAGATCCCTTGAAGGAGACCCAAGGGCCTGCCTGCTGGGCTTACTTCACAATATTCCTCTGATGGGGCAGCCCCTGCCCTGAGCACACCCCTCCCAGGAGGAAGGAGCAGCTTCCCTACCGCTTCCCCACTCATCCCTCCCTGGGGCAGCTTGCTGCTCAGCCGCTGGCCCCACTCTGGCTGCCCCTGGTTGCCAGCGTCTGCCTGGTTTGCTCTGTTGCTGGGAGACCCTGGGCGTACAGCTGACCCACTTCCTCCCCTGATCTCTGCTGCTGGAGGAGCCGCTTCTGGGCAGCCCTTCTGACCACACTCCACTGAATCTCCCTCGGGCTCTGCTACTTGCATTTTCTCTGGCCTGGTGGCCTAACTGGTCACTGACCCTGGTCCTGGCATTTGTGTGAGCCCTGGGTCTTGGATATTCACAGCATCCTGAACTCAGGCTGAGTTGACTATAGATCACTCTACATCAATCTAGGGCGCTAGAACCCTGCGTTTCCGCTCCTGCCTCTGCCACCCTTACCTGGCTCAGCTGACCTCTGGCACTGACAATCTGAGCTATGAATGGTTTTGGGGGATATAGGACACAATGGGGGGCATGGGGTATGGAGTGAGGGCGAAGTGCCTCAGAGATGAGGCCAATTACTGAGGAACTGTGGCCTCACAGGTAGGTGGGTGTGCAAAAATGCAGGAAACATGGGTGGTGGTAAGGGAGACATGCACAGCTGCTTACAATGGGTGGTGCCTGTTTTAAGATTTTGCTGGGTTATTTTAGAAAGGGTAACTGAGTTGTCTTTGGTAAACTTGATTTTGTAACTCTAAACCCTTTCACAAAGCTATTCTGTGTCTGAATCAAGTTTGCATTAAATGATGGAACCCTGCCTGCCATGTGCTCATAACTCCCTGCAGGTGTTGGGCCAGGCCCAGTGGGGAAGGCCCCCTATGCCAAGCAGCCCGGGCAGTAATGAAGAGGGCACAGGCAGGCCCTCTCCAGAGCCCATCCTTAGCGGGTGAGCAGGACCTTGGCCAGTCGTGAGGGCCTCCCAAGTCCCTCCTGTCCCTGCCCCCCTCCCCACCAGGAGGCGCAGCACCGGCAGCTACTCACTGGCGAGGATGACCATGTCCATGCCCCAGAAGATGCTCATGACCCAGCCCACCATGACGATGGCCGTGAGCACTTGGATGAGGGCTGCCGCGATGTTCAGCCAGAAGACGCAGCACACGTGCCTGTCTGGGAGGTCGGTGCGGGCCCCGCACAGCACGGTGAAGGCCGAGACGAATGTCCCTGTGAGAGGGCAGAGGGGACAGCCTTCTGAGGGTGCTGGGAGACAAAGGGCTCTGAGTGCTCACCGCTGGCCTGGGGCCCAGCTGTCTATCCTCCGAGAGCCCAGAGAGGAGCCCCTGGTGTCTGGCACCCTGTCCTCCGAGTGGCACCCCTGCCCAGACCCTTGCCACCTCTCATCTCCATAATGGAGAGGTCTGTGGGCCACTTGGAGGAGGTGTGGCATGGGGCTTCCAGGGGCCCCACACAGTATTGGAACTTTTGGGAGAGACAAGGAAGACACATGACAAGCAGTCCCTTCTGGGAAGGAGCAACAAGGAAGCCACCTGTAATGACAACAGGCAGCTGGAAAGGGTGACTTTATGTGGCAAAGATTCCAAGAGCCAAAGAGTCCCAAGGTGGGAGCTGGTGTGTCTGAGTTAACACAGAAGCAACCTCAGAGGTAAATTCAGGAGAGGCGAAGGGCCAGGAAATGACCGCCCAACACACACGCTGCTGGCTAAGGGACAGGAGCCAAGAGCCTGGGTGCCTGCACAGTCACAGACCAGGACAGGTATTCTAGAGCCTCTCCCTGACAGGGTTCCCCCAGGCACCCCGACCTGTAAGGGGAGGGACCAGAAGTCTAAGCTCTATTGAGCATCCACAAGGTGCCAAGCAATGTGGGGGGTGCGGTCACATTCTTCACCTTGTCTAAGACACGGCCCCTAAGGGTAACATCACTACCTTTACCAAGTTAGGCCCCTGTCCCACATGGGCTCTGAGCCCTCCTGACAACAACCGTGCAGAGAATTAGCATTCTCCATATCTGTTGTAATTTCTTATGGCTTTGGAACAAGTTACCCAAACCTTGTGGTTTAAAGCAACATAAATTTATTCTTTTATAGTTCTGGAGGTGAGAAGAGTCTGCAATGGGTCCTCAGGGATGAGTCCTTCTGGAGGCACCAGGAGAAAATCCACTTCCTTGTTTTTTCCAGCTTCTAGAGGCCACCTACATTCCTTGGCTCGTGACCCCTTCCTCCATCATCACTGGCAGCAATGTAGCACCTTCTCCCTGACCTCTGCTTCTGTCTTTATATATTCTTACTGCCTCCCTTGGCAAGGACCCTTGTGATGGCATTCAGGACCCACCTGGGTGATCCAGGATGCTTTCCTCATCTCATTTAATTCAATCACATCTGCAAAGTGCATTTTACCACATCAAGTAGCATATTCGAAGGCTTGGGGATATGGATGTGGACATCTTTAGGGGCCACTGTTTGGCTTACCATGCTCTTACACAGAAAGAGAAGACTCAGTGTGATGGTTAATTTTAGGTGTCAACTTGGCTAGATTGAGGGGTTTCTAGGTGGCTGGTGGAGCACTGTTTCTGAGTGTATCTGTGAGACTGTTTCCAGAGGAGACGGGCGTGTGAGCCAGTGGACTGAGAGAGGAAGACTTGCCCTCAATGCGGGTGCATGCCATCCAATCAGCTGGGGCTAAGCTAGAATAAACAGGCAGCAGAAGGGGCATGTCCTCTCTGCCTCCTTTCCCCCTTGCAGAGCGAGACACTTTATCTTCTCCTGACTTTAGACATCACACTGCAGGTTCTTCAGCTTTTGAACTCCGGAACTTGCACCAGCGGCCACTTGGGGGCCTCTTGGGACTGACTGGGGCTGCACTGTTGGCTTCCCTGGTTCTGAGGTTTCAGACATGGACTGAGCCAGCTACCAGCTTCTCCGGCTCTGCAGCTTGCAGTCCGCCTATCGTGGGACTTCTCCATCTCTGTGAACACATGAGCCAACTTCCCTCATAAATCCCCTTCCAGGGCTGGGTGCAGTGGCTCATGCCTGTAATCCCAGCACTTTGGGAGGCAGAGGCTGGCAGGTCACCTGAGGTTAATAGTTCGAGACCAGCCTGGCCAACATGGTGAAACCCAGTCTCTACTAAAAAATACAACAATTAGCAGGTTGTGGTGGTGGGCACCTGTAATCCTAGCTTCTTAGGAGGCTGAGGCGGGAGAATCACTTGAACCCAGGAGGTGGAGGTTGCAGTGAGCCAAGATCGCGCCATTGCACTCCAGCCTGGGCAACAAGAGTAAAACTCCATCTCAAAAAAAAAAAAAAAAAAAAAACCCTTTTATATATCCTACTTGTTCTGTCTCTCTGGATAACCCTGAATAATACTCCCAGGAACTAAGCATCTCGTCCAAGGTCACAATTACAGGCAGGCATTTGTGGGGAACGCTCCCATGTGAAGCCCCCCCAGTGTTGGGCCTCGCTGTGCGTGAGCTTGATCCCGGACACAGTTTCCTGCTGGAGGCAGTCGAGCTATGGGGAAGTAGGAACGGAAAGAATAAGAATAATGTCAGCCTCTATTTCTGACTACAGTGACCCTGGGTAATGGATGTGTGTGCTCTTTCGGTTCCTGTTGAGGAGTGGGTTTTATGACTCTGTTTACCAAGTTAAGTATAGCCTTTTGAGGACCAGATGACATTCCTATACTCAGATAAAGGTTTATGGCTTAGCCTGTGACATTTCTAGATTGTTATCCTTGTGACCACATGTTCTGTTGACAATGATAAAGTACATCACCTGCTTACCTTTTATGACCCGTGATTATGTACCCCCTCTGCTGACATTTGCTTTTTGCAACTTTCTGTGCTTTTTGCAACTTTCTGTTCCCCTTATTGTATAGCTTACATAATGTGCACTGACGTCAATCCTTATAATCTAAAGGTATATATTGGAACCCTGGACACAAATAAACTTGCTGCATAGGCATTGCCTATTCAGTCCTCCAGACCCCAGCTTTCTGTCTCTCTTTAATTCTGCGCACCCCCTCTTCCAGGCTGGGACCCTCTCGCTGGCCGAGACTCCCCGGCGGGCTCCCTGTCACCCACAGGCATTGAACCCAGCAGAGTCTGATGCCAACGCCATGCCCCTCTGAGCTGCCTCCCAGGTGTAGATGGTTTGTTTCTGAAGCAGGGCATTTGGGAAATTGGCCAAAAGACTGGTGACCATTCTTGCGTTCCTCATTCTCTCAGCTCCCGCTCTTTGAGGCTACCTTGTTTTTTATTTTGCCTCCCCCTCTGAACCAAATCCACGTGCTGATTTCTGAAACCTACCCTGTCTCGCTTTCCTCTCCTGATCGTAACCACTGCCACTGACGTGAGGTCCCAGGCGCATCTCATTCTGGCCCTTCCCTGCCCAACTCACTGGCTCCTACAGTTTCCAGGTGTGGCCTTTGCTCTCGCTCACACCTTTGTGCTTCAGATCCAAGGCTGAAGCCTGAGTCCACGTGCCGATTTCTGAAGCTGACCCTGCCTAGTTTTCCTCCTCCTCTTCGTAACCATTGCCACCGATATGAGGCCCCAGGCGCATTTCATTCACCTTCATCCCTCCAGCCCCTTGCACAGAGCCTTGTACACAGTAGGTGGCCTGTGGCATTCAAAGAAGTACACCCAACACCAAGTGTCTCTTCCGACCACCTGCCTCATCACCTGTGGCATTTGTTAAAAACGCAAGTGCCCGGGTCTCACCTGATCTACCGAATGTCTAAGAGGAGACCCCACATCTGCATTTCTCAACAAGCTTCCCCTGCTGCCCTCCAAGGAATGATAATGCTCACGAAAGTGTGAAAACCAGGGATTTGAATCAGGCAACTCGATAACTACCCCTCTGTGTTCCCGCCACAGCCCCAGAGGCCCTGTGGGAGACCCAAGAGGCAACACTGCTCTACTCTCGCCGGGGGGCAGCCAGCCAGGGGCACAGAGTGTGGGCTGGAGCCTCCTTTCTGGGGGATGAGACTGGGGTGCACTCTGGAGTCTCTGTAGGGACTCATTCAGGAACCTAACTGGACCCCTGCCCTCAAGAGCTCACAGTGTACTGGACAAGCTCATCACCCCACCTGACAGAGGAGAAGGAGGCTGAGGGCTGGCCACGTCTGTAGGAGTAAGAGTGATGGGGCTGGGACTGCACCTCCAGACTCTTCCTGCTGGAAGGAGAATGGAGAGGATGGTGCAGGCGGCAGGGTGGTGACAAGGGGAAGGTGATGGGGATGAAGAGGGAGGACTGACTTGGGCCATTAGTAGAAGGCTTTGAATGCCTGGGTATGAGTTTGTCCACCACCTGCAGGAAAGGGAGCTCTCACAAAGAGTGTTGAGCAGGAGAACAATGTAATGGAAGCAGGGATTTAAGAAAATTAATTTGTCGGCAGAGTGGTTTTTTTTTTTTTTTTTTCTTTTTTTTTGAAACGGAGTCTTGCTCTGTCCCCCAGGCTGGAGTGCAGTGGCGCAATCTCAGCTCATTGCAAACTTCACCTCCCGGGTTCAAGCGATTCTCCTGCTTCAGCCTCCCAAGTAGCTGGGATTACAGGAACGCGCCAACAGGCCTGGCTAATTTTTGTATTTTTAGTAGAGACGGGGTTTCTCCATGTTGGCCAGGTTGGTCTTGAACTCCTGACCTCAATTGATCCACCTGCCTCGGTCTCCCAAAGTGCTGGGATTACAGGCATGAGCCACTGTGTCTGGCTGGCAGGTGGATTTAAGATGTCTGAGATGGGAAAGATGAACTGGGGGGAGAAGGCAGCAACTGAGAAATTGGGGGATACGGGCTCAGGGCTTGGTAGTGGACACAGGAGGACGCAGGGGACTCAGGGACTATTAGGAGGTGTGTGCCACCATCCTTTGCTTCTGCCAGTGCATCACACAGCGGAACCCAGACTTAAAGCCAATCTGTCTAGTGTAGAATACTGAGTTCTTTTCAGTCTAGGGTGCTACATCCTTGCATTAAAAAATAAGGAAAGAGGCTGGGCATGACAGCTCATGCCTGTAATCCCAACACTCCCGGAGGCTGAGGCTGGTGGATCACCTGAGATTAGAAGTTCGAGACCAGCCTGGACAATATAATGAAACCCTATCTCCACCAAAAATACAAAAATTAGCTGGGCATGGTGGCACATGCCTGTAGTCCCAGCTACTCAGGAGGCTGAGGCAGGAGAATCACTTGAACCTGGGAGACAGAGGTTGTAGTGAGCTGAGAACACTCCACTGCACTCCAGCCTGGGTGACAGAGCAAGACTCCATCTAAAAAAAATAATGATAAGGAAAGAACCTTCATCCTTAATGGTTTTTAAATATCCTTGAACCCACTCCTTCCCCCCCATTCCTTTATGGGAGCCCCTAAATTAGACGGTGTTCTGATCTCAGGGCTGCAGTGATCCTCTGATCCCCCAACTCATTAGGAGCTGCCTGACACCCAGTGACCCTCTCTGTGAGACTCTGTGGCCTCACCTCACTCTTCCAGCCTAAGAAATGGGAACAGTGGTCCATGTTCTTTCCTGTTTTTCTTAGGCTGAACCATATGAAACTGGCACTTCTGCAGGTCAAGAACAGCTGAATAATAAAAGCCTAATGTGTATATGAAAGTTTTGAGCATAAGGAAGCTTTGTCCTTGAACTCAGAGATTCTTAAGAAGGTTGTCTAGTTCATCCTGTCAAAAGAGGAAATCTCACTGGAATTGCCAAAGTGATTAGAGGCCGGTGGGCTGAGTACCTGCCTGCTCGCTGCAGAGCGGGGAAGGCCTAGAGCCCAGTGCTCTGCAGATGAGCAGGGCTGTGCAACGTGGATGATCCTTAGCAGAGGCTTTGGCGTCTATGTTAGGAAAAGCGGGGCTGACCCACACTCCATTTAACGGAGGAGATGACCTTCGCATGTGCATGGCGTGGGAGGGATTCTGGTCTCTGACCCTCCTTTACTCATGTTGACACACTCATAGCTCTACGACACGTAAAAATATAACATTATACACATCCTGACTTCTACCACATGCATGCACGTTGTCCAGTTGCGTTAACTCAGATTTCACTAGTTGGGAAATTAGAACAGGTCCATTTTGTCGTATAAGGTAGCATATGCCATAAAAGGTGGAGATTAAGTGAATGGATTTATGATATAAAAACATTGTTTTAATCTCTTCAGCAGTAAATTTTAAAAATGATTTTAGCACATTTTCCTATGAAGAGGTGTTAATTGTTTTAAATGAGTCTTACCAGTTAAATAAAACGCTCTACCCAACAGCAATGTGTTGGTTCTAATTTATTCTATTGAGCACCAGCCATATGCCAGTGTTGAGTCCTGGGAATGGGAACCCAGACAGGTGATGGGAAGTTGCCACCCCCGCCCGAGAGCTCACACTCTGGCAGGGACATTGGGTCACACCAGGAACAGTGACAAATTCAATTCTGTTTGACCATAGCAGGAAAGACTTCACAGAAGAGCAGGTGATGGAGCAAGGAGCTTGGGAGCTGGTGGGGACTCATGCAGGGAAGGAGAAGGGGAAGAGCATCTGCAGACAGGCTGGCCTGGCCGTCCGGAGCTCAGCAGTGCACAGGCTGGACTCAGGACGCGCATGTAACGGAGTGATGAAAAGTGATTAAAAACAAAGCTGGTTCAGACTTCCGTAAAAATTCCAGAAATTAAACAAGCGAGGCTGGAGCGGGCCCGGATCAGACCGGAGAGGGTCTGAGGGCCTGGCTCTGGAATCCACCTTCCTCTTCCAGGCAATGGGCAGACCTGGGAAGGGGTTGAACAGGGGACTATTGGGTCCAGTTTGAATTTGAGGACAAACACATGACCCCTAAGGAAGGATGGGTCGGAAGTGGTGAGGTGGAAGGCAGGGAGAAGAGGCCTGGTGAAATGCCCAGTGAGAAGAGAGGGGAGGGCAGTGGGAGAGACAGGAGTGCAGAGGACAGCAAGGCAGCATCCTCAACTGAGTGGCCTGCTGGATGTTGGGGTAGAGGAGGAACCGGAGCACGGGATGGGGTTGGGGTTCTGGTTTTCTACACTACAGGGTGAGGATGGAGCCATTGACCAGGGTGGGAAACCCAGAGCAGTTCGTGCCCACCAATGGAAAAGAGCTGAGTCAGAGACAAGAACTCTAGAGGCATCAGTTTCAAGCAGGGGTTGGAAGTGAATGAGGTCACCCCAGGAGGGCATGAAATTCCAGGAAAGACCCTTGGGGACACCAAGATTTTAGGGATGATCAAGGGAAAAGAAGACCACAAAAGGGACAGGGGAGGCCCAATCAGAGTGGCTGGGAGAGGGTGTCCCAGAAACAGGAGAGAAGTGTCTGGAGGAAGGTCACCTCCAGAGAAGGTGCTGGGGCAGGTCACCTCCTTCAGCAAGGTTCAGTGAGAGGGACACGTGCAGTCACAGACTCGCTTAGGCCAAGAGTGGCTCCACAGGGAGTCGGGAGAATGTCAGGGCTCACAGCAGGAGGTCAGGGGCTTGGAGAGAACGGAAGTGTGGATTCCAGGCATGGGTGAGGACCACTCTTCCTTAAGTGGGAGAAACTTAAGCTTGTTAATCTGCTGAGGAGAAGCTGCCAGGAGGGGGCGGGGGACAGGGTGAAGACATAACCAGGTGGGGTATAGCACATCAAGGTTCTTGGTAAAATGAGAAGTGGATGGTCAGGGGAGGTGATCCAAAGCAAAGTTTTCCAAACCAGTTTGTGCATCAAACGCCTCAAACTGAGGTTCATAAAAATGCAGATTCTAAGGCCCCACCTCTAGACTTCTACAGACACAGGGATGGGTCTAGTGCTGCTTGTTTAAAAAAATAAACATTCCCCCAGCTGATACCAATCCTCGCTCTGATGGATGGAGGAATTAGCCTCGCAGATATAGAAAGAGAAAATCGCACAACCTCGTCAGAAACGAGTCCACGATTCTGGCCTTTCACTCTGTCCAGTGGCTTCCCCCATATGACTCAGGGCTGGAGCGGGAGACGGTCCTCTGCAGCAGGGACAGCGAGGCTAAGGCTGGCCCTGGGCATGCTGTTCCTGGAGGTCCCAGCCAACACTAACTGGCCTCAGGGAAAATGATGGCAATGGACTGTATTGTCAATCACCCAAATCAGTGTGTTGTGTAACACCGGAACCTGGGTACAGACATGTGTTTTGCACGTCCTAGCATGATCCTGGGAAGAAAGGCAGGCAGCAGAGACCTGGGGCAGTCCTCCCATGGAGAGTTGCAGCAAAAACACAAGCAAAGCCCTCCCCACCCCCCACCAGCTGCCTTTGCTGGGGTCTCTGTGCTTGCAACTTCCCTAAGGAGCTCAGGGCTCAGGCCCTGAGACAAAGCAGTGGGAAGGGAAAGGGTCCCTCCACTTCCGTCCTAGAGGCCCCAAAGAGCTTCTCTGGGCTTGTTCTCCGGGGAGAGCTCCTGGAGCTTGGCTGTCAGGCACGAAAAGAGAAGCAGCCAGAAGTGGGCTGGTACAGCCTCCCACCAGGAGACGGGCGGCTTTGCTCCCACGAGATAGAGCCTGGGAGCTGGAAATGTCCTTTGATTTCTCACTGGGTTCGGCTTTTCTCATGACTCACATGGGAGCTTTGGGAGGCACTGGGTTTGGAGAGGGGATCTTAAGGCCTCTTGGAACTCGGTGGAGAAGGGCAGAGCTGTCTTCTGAAGCAGCTGCTTCAGAGTAAAAAGTGCCCCTGGGACCTAGGCCAGCAAGTTGTCTGATGCCAGATGTCACCTGCAGCTGGCTTTGCAGTCATTAAGATATGCTGCTCATCAGTGGCTGTGACTTACACCTGGACACCCTCCCTCACTCCTCCAGGGAGCGTTGGCTGAGCATGGCCTTTTTCCAGGCCCTACCCTGAATGTGAGCTTTGGGGGTCAGGAAGGAAATGCACAGCTGATTTTGAAAGCCAAAGAAACAGGTTCTTCACACCCTAAGAAATAGGACCCATTGCCAAGGGCTGCCCAGTTCAGGGCCAGAATAAGCTAAATGGGAGATTCTGTTCAGGGTCAAGATCAGAGACTGCTAAAAATATGCCTTCCTGGGCCCCACTGCCCCAAGATTCTGATTCAGGAGGTCTAGTTATCGTCTTTGCCTCGTGCAATTATTTCAACCAAAAAGAAAAGGAAAGGAAAGAGAACTGACTACAAGTTCACAAATACTTCTGGACAGAAGTCTCAGGAATGCAGATCAGTGTAGCCTTGAACATGAAGGTGGCCTAACGGCCATGGCCTAAGGAAACCAGCCGAGGCTGCAGAAAGCCAGGCCAGGGTCCCGGGGCTCTCAGATGCTCTTGGTGCCAACTCTTCTGGGTTCTGTTTTCTCAAGAAATGGAGCAGAATATTTGAGATATCGTGTGCTCATATGTGCTGAGGGAAGGAGTGTCATCCTTTCAGCTCAGTCACTCCAGAACAGAGCACAAGAAGGCCATACTAGGTGGGAGAGCAAGGTGTCAACCAAAGGGCACACCAGCGCAGGTTAGAGGCTGCTTAGGTCTGCGGAGGGGCCGTGTCTTCCCCTGGAATTGCACCAAGCCATTTACCTAGAAACTGTTGTAGACCCAGCCCTGTCTGGGGCCTCATGTCCTGGCCAGCAAGGAACTTGCAAGGAGGACTCAGAACACAATAGTGCAGGGTAAACATGAACAGCTAGCATGCCCATCATCCTGACCATCCACACACTTTTTCCGAACGAATCTGCCAGTGTCGTTGATGCCTCTGTTCTGGAGAAGCAAAGGGTCCATGAGTGGCTTTCAACATTAGAGAAAGCACAGATACCCTAGTGAGGTCATACCATCCACCGGAAAGCCGACCTTGCCAGCATTTGGTTGGGATCCCGTCATCTCCATGCAGTGACGGGGTGGGAGGGGATTCCTGCATCAGCAGCTCCCAGTGGCCAATAACTCACCTTTGATCAACTAGAGATGGGACAGTGAATTTATTATGACCTAAGGATTTCCATGCATGGGTTTCATGGAAGATAATGAGGAAGAGTGGACAGGCGACCTTCTGTCCCCAGCAGAGAGAAGGTGTATGGCATCTTGAACCACTTCTCCCTTAGCCTCAGCTGCTGCCCCACATCCAGAGGCCCTCTGTTCTCTCCCCAGTCAGAAAGTGCCAGCTTGGGACAAATCCTCTTCATTTCCCCCAGGGGCTCGGGTAAATGCTCAGGGGTCTTGGGCAAATGCGTTGGGATTGTGAGGATTGAGGGGTCAGGATTGTGCGAATTGAGGAGGTCGGGGAACACGGCGGGGTGCGAGTCTTCAGGCAGACAAGGGATGTGCAGATGAGACCCTGGTAAGTCACAGTCTCCAGGTGTAGTGCAGCACCAAGTGGGCTGCAGCTGTTAGTGTGTGCCTTTGATTTTCCAGCTGGCATGAAGGAAAGAAGACAGGAGCCTTCCTGGCTGCCACACATCCATCTGGTGTCCTTCCTTCCGAGGACAGAAGGAAAATGAGACCAGCTCCCTCCTCCATCCGCCTCAGTGCCCCCACCATGACAACAGTTCTCATCCTGCTGGGGGGAGGGTGGCTGGAGCTGATAATTCATTTTAGTGGTGCCAGGCATTGCATCAGCTTCTCTGTGCTTATTAGCAAACCTCCTCTGCCCTCAGCCTGCCCGCTCCTAGACCTATGATGGGCTCCCAGCCTGGGCAGACAGTGGGGTGCTGGGGAGCTGCGCGACAGGACTGGACACCTTAGGTCTCTTCTGGGGTCTTCCCAGGATGTTAAGCTGGAGCAGAAATTTTACCACATGGAATTTCTCAGTTACCTAACGCTGAACCTTGCCATGACAGATTCTAGGCTTCAGTGCCAGAGGCTGAGCTGAGGAGACATGGATAGGACGGGGAAGGGTGGCTGTGTAACAGCCAGGGCAGGGGAGCCTGGGACCATGCAGACGCCCTGAGGGCTTAGCCTCGTCCTTCCCATCTTCCAGCAGGTTGGTGTTAAAGGTGGCCAGTCTGGTGGAAAGAAGGATGAGGGCAGCAGTGGTGACATTTGTTATGGGAGACAATACGGCTCCCACCTCCTGAGAATTTGCAACCTGACAAGATGACATTTCCATGGATGGGTAGACACGAAGATTAAAAACAGACAGGGGTTCTGCCCAAGGCTGCAGTGGCCAGGGAGCCTCTCTGAGATCACAGGCAGTTAGAACCTACAACATGATGTTGTAGGGATCCCGGCCACATCACAGAGAAGCTGTGTGACCTTGACATGATGGCTCATCTCTATACCTCATCTCTAGATGACGGCACTTCTCATTTCCCCATCTATGAAATGCACATAATGATAGTAGCCAAGGGTAGATGTGAGGATTAAATTAATGCATGTAAAGTACTTAGAACACAGCATGAAACAATAAGGCCTAGCTGGGGCATGAGGAGGGCCCCCCACAGAGTAGGAAGGATGATGGGGACTGCCCTCTGAGGAGGCGGGGCTGGAGCAGAATACTGGCAGAAAAGGAGTTATTAATTATGAAAAAGAAAACAAAACTGAAGATCTCACTGAATCCTGCTCTCACATTGACTTGTGGCCATTGGCACTATTCTTCACTCCACCTTTTAAAAAAATTATTATAATTGTTAAGTTCACCATGTCAGCCTCCTGAAGGCTGAGGCTAGGCACTCATCCCTATGCCAGTGTGACACAGCTGGTAAAAACTATAACTGAGATGACTACACAGCAAGATGGGCAGGTGCTTCGAGTGAGATTACACAAATAGAATGTATATTGTGAGGGGGAACTATTTCAAAATATTCATGTGCATGGACAAAGATTGGAGTGTACTAAAATGTTATGATTTTGCCATGGCAGAATTACAGGTGCCTTCTTCTCTTTTTTCAAAATCAAATTCTCATTTCAGTTAAAACAAAGTTTTAGGCGACCTGTTGAGATCTAGCTCTTCAAGGATGTCCACCAGATAGCCCCTCACTGGCTACAGAGAAGGCGATGGAGCGGTCGGGTAAACCAGGGGACAGATGCACATAGCCATCTAACACAGGACATTAAATGATGCCATGGGACTCTGCAGGGCTGTGACAAAAGCCCCTGAATTTCCAGGAACGCCCCTGGAATGCAGCTCCCAATCCTATGGTGTTGTTCCCAGTTAACCAGGCAGAGCGCGGCTCTCAGCAGGCTTGGGCTCACCCACTAGAGATGAGATGAGAGTTGGAAGCCAGGAAAGGACTCCAGTCCCAAGAGAACTTCCGGAGCCACTGTGGACTTAGGCACCACAACACAACAGCAGAAAAGGAAGTGGCTTGACTGAGCTGGCACCCAGCCTCTCGGAGGACCAGAAAGGAAGGAGAGGAGGGGGAAGGAGCCCTGTGTGGAGCTCAAGCTTAGGTGCTCCCTGTCTGACTGGTGATCCCCATGGGACTGGCAGACACACCTGCTCCTTCCTGGAACTGTGCCCTGCCTGGTGGCCCATGTGATTGTCCTGGTGCTAGGGACAACTTTGCCTGGGGCACATGAAATCAGTGCAAGATGGCTTTCTCCATGGGGAGGTGACGTTGCTGCTCATGCCATGGGGACACACCATACTTGCAGGGAGGGGTTGTCCCTTGTGGTCTTTAATTTGGAAGTAACCAACTCAAACAGCCTTAAATTACAGAGGATTTATTGACAGCTGTAATCCCAGCATTTTGGGAGGCTGAGGTGGTCAGATTACCTGAGGTCTGGAGTTTGAGACCAGCCTGGCCAACATGATAAAACCCCATCTCTACTAAAAATAAAAAAATTTGCTGGGCATGGTGGTATGCGCCTGTAATCCCAGCTACTTGGGAGGTTGAGGCAGGAGAACGACTTGAACCTGGGAGGCAGAGGTTGCAGTGAGCTGAGATGTGCCACTGCACTATAGCCTAGGTGACGGAGCAAGACTCTGTCTAAAAAAAACCCACAAAAAAACAAAAAACAAAAACAAAGGGATTTATTGGTTCACAAATGAGAAAACAAACAAGGAAAAATGCTAGAGGAGCACTGTGGGATCATGTTAGGAAGATGGGCTCTAGGGCCAGACTGCTGAGTGTTATTCGTGATTTTGCCATTTACTAGTTGAGTGAAAATTGGGCAGGTTATTCTACCTCTGGAAGTCTCTCTCCTCATCAAACCTTTTCAGCCCAATTTCCTCATCTGTCAAATGTGGGTTTTACTCGTATCCGTATCCAGGGTTTTGTGTGAGGCTTCATAGAGATTTTGCGTTTAAAATGCCTAGAACATAAAAAGTGTCTAATATCCATTTGCTATTTTTATTATTAACAGGAATTCAGGGTTGGTTTAGTTCTTTGGCTCAATAATTCACCAGGGACCCAATGTCTTCCATCTCTCTGCTCTATCTTTCATGGTGTGAGCTTCAGCACAAGGCCAATTTCTCTCATGCTGACAAAGTAATTGCAGCAGTTCCAGGTTTCACATTCATATACCACATTTTCAGAGGAAACAGAAGGTTTCTGTCTCAGAATTCCAAGTAGGAATCCCGAGATTTATTGAGATAGGACTATTTAGTTCACTGGCCCACTCGCGAGTCAATGGTTTGGCAAAGGAAATAGAGGCAGCTTTCTCTACAAAGCTCAGGTGGCATAAACTCCTGAGTATAAGTCTGGATTTTATTGGGAAGTAGGAGGAAGGTAAAATGATACTGGGTAAGTGATTAGTGATGTTCACCAATGGGATAACTGCATTACTAAATCAACCAGAGAAATGAGAAACTGAACTATCCTTTTTCCAAATGGGGGTGTGGTGGCTTTAAAACAGGACATCCAAATTCTTTGACACTGTCATCAAGAGGCAGACCCATATACTTTCCTCTTAAAACTGAGCTCTCTAAGAACTAACATCATACAACAGAAGTGGCACGTGCCAGGCTCAGGCCTTAACAAACTGATGCATACTCTCGAACCCAGCCACCACGCTGTAAAAAAGTCCAGACTAGCTCATGTGAGAAACCCCATGGAGAAACCTGGTGTAGATGGTCCAGCCACCAGCTCAGCTCAGCTGGTGAGAATCCAGCTGATGGCCAGCTTCAGCTACCAGACATGCGAGTAAAGATGCCTCCAGGTGATTCCGGTCCCCAGCCATCAAGTCCCTCTGGTTTGGAGTATTGCTAGCTGAGGCCCCACACACCATGGAGCACAGGCGAGATTCCCTAATGTGTCTTCCTGTCTAAATTCCTACCCACAGAAATGATGAGCATAATACAGTGTATTTTTTTACACCACTAAGTTTTGAGATTGTTTTCTATACAACAATAGATAGTTAGAACAGGAGTGTCACTGGGCAACATGTCAATGGAGGGGGATACAGGTAGAAGAAGTGGGCCAGGATGTTTGGTTCTTACAGCAATCATTTAGCATCTAGACCCCTAAAGGCCTATGCTGCTTGGCTCTTGGGCAGAAGGGCACTTACTCCCATTCCCCCTCCCAGGGCCCTGCCCCACCATGCCAGGACAACTGACAAGAGTCAAAAAGTCTGTTAAAATAACACCGCACTGCAGCCATGCTATAGGAAGTCCGTAAGACGATCAAAAGACTGGGCTGCCGGGCCTTGTCCGACGTGACCTGCGGCCCACACAACTGGAGGCAGCAGGCCTGGGAAAAGAGAGGCCCAATGTCCTGGAGCTGGGTTGCTCTGACTTCTGTGCCTCCTCTGCACAGAACCTGAAGCTCTCTTACCTCTTTTCCCAACCCCCCATTCCATCCGAAGATGAGAGGCTAAGCCAGAGACAAAGAGGAGGACTCTAGTGAACACTCAGCTGTGCGGAAAGAGGAAAAGGAAGAGGTCAGTGAGGAAGAGCTCCCTCAGGACCTTTCTAGGTGGACCGCAATAGACTAATAAGCCACTGGGGAGGAAAAACAGAATTGCTTTATGCCGTCCTATAGGATAGACATGTGCGCTTGCTTGACTAGCAAAAGGTACCTTCCTGGCCTTCCAAATGGCAAAGGTATAACCATTATCATTATAATCAACCTGTAATGCCCTCACTGGAGATTAGCATTTCACCACATTACCTCTCTTGATTTCTACAGCAATCCCAAGTTTTTATTCTCATTTAATGACAAGAACAGGCCTAGGATGAATAGTACTTTAACCAACTGCAACAGATTTCAGAAATGGCCCCAGTTCTTCACTTCCTGTATCCATGGCCTTTGCAATGTGACTTTGCTGCTCCTCCCATTAAGAAGTAGAATCTGCTTCCCCATCCTTTGAATCCAGCCTGGCCCTGGGAGTTTCCTTGGCCAATGTAATGTGGGAGAAGTGGCATTGTGTCAGTCCCGAGCTGAGGCCACATGCACAGAGCTCTGCACAGTCACTCCATGGACAAGCCTTGGCTAGCCTGTTGGACAGTGAGATACCACATGGCGATGGCCCCAGCCATCTAGCCATCCCAGCTAAGAATAGCCAAGCCCGGCTTGACCAAAGAAATGCCCTCCTGAGCCCAGCCCACAGAACTGTGAACTCCATAAACAGCTGTTGTTTTAAGCCACTAAGTTTTGGGGAGGTTTGTTATGCAGCAAAAGGTAACTGAGACACCCCATGCCTGTTTTCACAAACCTGTTGGCTACCAGGAAAGAAGAGGGAGAGGCCTGAGGTCTGTGGCCCCTCAGCTCCATCAGAGATCAAGAGGGGAAGGAGGTTCTGGGGCTTCAGGAGACAGCCTACCCTGGGACTGTGGAAAACCTTTTCAGGATATGAGAGCCAAACAAAAGTGGCCTGGCTTCCTGTGCACAGGCTGTCAGACGAGACTGAATTTGGGGCGACCCTTCAGGATACACATACTGAATTGTGTGTGTGTGCACGCGCGTGTGCGTGCGTGTGTGCATGTGCGTGTGTGTGTGTGTGTGTGTGTGTGATGGAGTTTCTCTCTTGTTGCCCAGGGTGGAGTACAAGGGTGCAGTCTTGGTTCTCTGCAACCTCCACCTCCTGGGTTCAAACTATTCTCCTGCCTCAGCCTCCCCAGTAGCTGGGATTACAGGCATACACCACCATACCCAGCTAATTTTCTGTACTGTTTAGTAAGATAGTGTTTCACCATGTTGGCCAGGCCGGTCTCAAACTCCTAACCTCAGGTCATCCCACCCACCTCGGCCTCCCAAAGTGCTGGAATTACAGGCATGAGCCACCGCACCTGGCCTATACTGATGTCTTAACAGAACGAAGAGCCAAATGGATTTGAGAAGCCTACTTTTTAACAAGAAACTGATTTCAGGAAAGAACCAAGGATTAAAACAAGTCGTCCCAATGGTGAAGGATGGTGTTGACCTTTCCTGGGGTGGTGCTGGTACAGCAGCGGGAGTGTCCGCCTCCACATCAGTGGAGTTGTGGGCAGGACCCCTGGGACCAGCGCTTCCAGGAGACTGGGAACAAGGCTGCAGGGTGACTAAGTGAGGGGGACCTGGGGGAGGGGACGCATAAGCTGTGATACCTGACCGGCAGATATGTGAATGAGGGGCGGGGCAGAGGCTGCAGTTAAGAAACAGAAGAAAGGAAGATTTTCGT